CAGAGTATTGGCCATGTGACGGTAGTTGAACCTGTTGAAGTATGTAAGGCAACAATCTAACTTAGAAAATGAAACACCGCCATCAAAACTAAAATTATATGATAAACAAACCATAAAGTAACAACAAAGAATATTCACTTACAAGGAATATTGAAGTATTAAATTAAATATTTTATGAAACAATACGAAACTCTCAGAAACAGTTGGAAATAATGCACAAAATCTGCACACATAACATTTATATATAAATTTACCGACTGATAATAGCTTTGTGTAAGCCATACTGGTGGCATAAGCTAAAGTTGAACAAAACAACGAGAACGAAAATGAAGTTATGTCATAAACCTTTGGATAATGCCCCCAAAATCCTTTTTCCCCCCCTCCATTCAGAACCATTACGGGCCATCTTCTCTGTTAAAAAGGAGTTGTATCTTGTTTAATATTATTTCTATGACCATTTGAATTCCTAGTTATAGCTCTGGATTATCTACTAATAAGAAAGCAGCAGCTTAGTGTGTGTGTCTGCAGGACTATTTGAAACTTTAACAACCTTTAGTGCTACGAGTTTATGTAAACAACAGTATCGCTATATGTTCAATGAAATTCATTCATCCCTCACTCTAAATTCCTTAAAGAAAGAGTAGCAAAGTTTCTACATGTTAGAGTATAAAATCACATCCCTCAGCCCTCACTACAACTTCGAAGATCTGGTGTAGTGGCAGGACCCTTGACCAAATGAGGAGATTTGACAAGATTGCAAATTGTCAACTCCATGCATTCATTATAACTCATGAGCAAACTCAACCAAGTAGAGACAAAAGCATTTTGACCAACGCAAAAACATGCTTCAATGCCTAAGAACTATGTATTATTTTCCTTCGTCTTTGATGCTCATTGTGAGCAAGTTTCATAACCAATCTTACTTGCTTTCTTATTCATCCATCACTCAATTTTTAACAATTACTTGCCGCCCATAATATTCTAAATTTAAACTTATTTTGCACGAATGAGCAATGCGTAAAACTTACTAATCAGGACTAACCATTAATTCAACCCAATCCCAAACCACTTCAAAACCTGACGAATCAATTAAACCTTTTCTTAAATTCACTGCTTGCATTTACTAGTCCGAAGACTAAATGTGAATCCCTATCAAGTAGCAAATTATCATGCTATCTTCAGATTAGTTCTATCATAAAAGGGGGTCTCTTTTCCTTTTCTTTTTTAGGGTTAGTCATAAAATTATCCTATGGGTTGTAGAAATCACAGAAATCTCCTTAAGGTTTTAAAATGCAACTTTAAAACCTCATTCCCATCTTCATTTTCACTTTCTAGTCACGTCAATTTTTTCAATGTAATTGTACAACAACAATATGGCTTTCCTCCCTACATGGATCATATTCTTTCACTCAATCGTGCTAAGGAATATAACCTCTATTAAATATAACCCTTGTCATATTATTCCTTGGGTGTTTTTGGTTATGAGTAATTAGAACAACAAATGATTTTGCAACATCCTGTTGTTCTAACTCACATTACTAGAATGCTCATAAATTTGAATATTGTAGCGACACCCCTATTTTTGGCCTACTTTGTTGCCGCAACAACCTTTTGGTATTGCAACAATATCCAACCAAATAAAATTTTTAAAATTTAGACGTAGTAGGAACAACATGAGGTTCTAAACTAATCCTTATAATACACACCCTAAAATCTTAATTGCCTCTAACCAAATTATCTTAGGCCAGATTCTAGCCCCCCGACCCATTAGCTATAACCTTATTACTTCTCCTAACTGAAGGATGCAGCGGTTTCAAAATAATATCAATTTCTAATACGATAATCATATAAATGTCCACAAGGAATTATATACTATTATCAGACCTACAAGCTCAGAATTTAAAATTAACATTAGCATGTATTTAAAATTAACATTAGCATGTATTTGGTTAGTAGTAGTTGAGCTCACGTTGTTCCAACTACATCCAAATTAAAAATTTTAATTCGGTTGGATGTTGTTGCAATACCAAAAGATTATTACAACAAAATAGGCCAAAAATAAGGGCGTTGCTCAGTGTTCAAATTCATGAGTGTTCCAACAGCGGGAGTAAGAACATCATAATGTCCCAATAGCACTTGTTGTTCCAAGTCCAACAACTCCTTACCAAAGCACACACTCTAACTCCTTAGAACTTGAAATAGAGGGGCCAAACTATCACTTTGAAACCTTAGGAGGGTTATCCTAAGTAAATCACTTGCACATTTCTAAATACAATGCTCATTTTAATATCAATTCACAACACCGAGATCTCTAAAAACCGAGAAAACCCCATTTGGGTTCATCATGAAAAACTCAGTCTGTTCTGAGATAGATTAGTTTCCCATATCAGTGTCAATCAAAATACCCAGATCACTAAAATTAGGGTTTCAAAATGCAACTTTAAACCCCCGTTCCGATCTTCAGTTTCACTTTCTAGTCACATCAATTTTTTCAATGTAATTAATTGTACAACAACAATATGGCTTTCCTCCCGGATCATATTCTTTCACTCAATCATGCTAAGGGATATAACCTCCGTTAAATATAACAGTTATTATATTATTCCTTGGGTGTTTTTGGTTATGAGTAATTAAAACAACAAACAACATCATGTTGTTCTAACTCATGTTACTAGAATGCTCATCAATTTGGATGTTGTAGCAACACCCATATTTTTGGCCTATTTTGTTGCCGCAACAACCTTTTGGTATTGCAAGTTGCAACAATGTCCAACCAAATAAAAATTTTAAAATTTAGATGTATTAGAAACAACATGATGTTCCAACTAATCCTAATAAAACACAACCTAAAATCTTAATTGCCTCCAACCAAATTATCTTAGAAACTCTGTTGAATGTTGTTGCAATATCAAAAGATTATTACAACAACAAAATAGGCCAAAAATAAGGATGTAGCTCGGTGTTCAATTCATAAGCGTTCCAACGGAACTTAGAATGTCATGATGTTCCAATAGCACTTGTTGTTCCAACAACTCCTAACCTAAAGCACACACTTAACTCCTTAGAATTTGAAATCGAGGGGCCAAACTGTCACTTTGAAACCTTAGGAGGGTTATACTAAATAAATCAGGTGCACATTTCTAAATACAATGCCCATTTCAATACCCAATTCAAAACACACAGATTCTCCGAAAACCATGAAAATCTCAGTATGTTTTGAGATGGATTAGTTACCCATACCAATGCCAATCAAAATAACCAGGTCACTGAAATTAGGGTTCATCGTCGAAAACACTAATAATGACTGTGAATGAGAGAGGAGAGAGAGAACTTGGGGAGATTTACCAGTATCGAGAAGTGCAGACCAAGACGGCCCAGTTGTTGCTGTGCATCGTCGTCGACGACGAAGCAACTGAGAAGAATAAGAGCAACAGGATCCGGTACAAGATCGCCATGATTGATCCTCGAGCAGTGGCGTAGCCAGGAATTTTGTTTGCCCTGGGCGAAAATTCTCCAAAGCAAAAAAAATTAAACAAACTAAGAGTGCTTTGATTAGATATTGATAAAAAAGACAAAGTTGTATCATACACATTCAAAATATGAGATACAAAAATTAACAAAAGTATCTATCTAAGTCGAGCTCTACGAGTATGTCGTGAATCAAACTCCTCTACTATTTCTTCTACTATTTCTTCTGTGTCGAGGCTGGAAGTAATTTCTTTTTCAATACAAAGTATCATGTTATTAGCAAGCATTTCATCACCCATCTTGTTGCGCAATGATGTTTTTATGAGTTTCATTGCTGAAAATGCTCGTTCCGTGCTTGCAGTCGAAACAGGCATTTTAGCTTGAAAAATTAATAGATTGTTATTAGGATATTAAAAGAACTAACAGGCATAAATAGAATTAACAACATAATTAACAGATACAGAACTAACTAAAAAGAAGACAGAACTAACAGGAAACACCACAGAACTAACAGGAAGTGTCATAGAACTAACATGAGGGTGAGGGAGCTGGAGGAGGGTGTACCAGTCGAGGTCGAGCCTAAAACGTTGTGCAATCCAGGGCATCAAACTTCTTCAACCAGTATTGTTGAAACCTCTGCCTTGCATACTCTATTATAAACAAATAAACAATGTCAATATCATTCACATGATCCTGCAAAAATATTTTTTTTTTAAATATATAGCTTGAGCTTAGATTGAATTAACCGACTTTTATAAAAGAGAGTGGTATAATACTTGGCTTACCAAAATTTTACCCCATAGTCCCCCGCAGGGCCCGCACAAATGGCTTGCAAGAACGTACTTCTCAATGTTGAGTCCGGGAGGCGAGGAGGAGGTCGATTCCGGCGAGGACTTGGTCGTGGACTCAGGGCGGTCGTCGTCACTCGTCGGAGAGCTTGGGATCGGCGTCGACTGGTTGAGGGCTTGCTCTGGGAGGCGACTGGGGGCGGTCGTCGGACTGTCGGAGTCTCGGAGAGTGGGGGCGGTCCGCGGTCGTCGACGGAGTCTTCGGAGAGGGGATTTGCGATCGTCGAACTGTCGAAGCCTTCTCGGAGAGGGGATTTGCGGTCGTCGACGGAGTCTCGGAGAGGGGATTTGCGGTCGTCGGAGTCTCGGAGAGTGGGGGCGGTCGTCGGAGACTCGAAGGCTCGAAGCCCTAGCTTTTTTTTGGCCCCTTCTCTATTCTCTGCGCTTCGTTTCGAAATATTGGGATTTGGGGGACAGGGGGAGTCGGGAGAAAACCGAGAAATAAAAGGGGTGGGGCGCTGATACGTGGCCAAAAAATTAAAATATTAAACATATAAAAAAAAATCATTTTCTTGTACTGGGCAGCTGCCAGGGCAAGTTCAACGTAGCTACGCCTCAGTCCTCGAGAGATTCTGAAAGGAGAGAAGAGGGTTGAAAAGCTCATTCAGGTGGAGGCGATGCCTGATTGAGTTTTCTCCTCTTTTTTGGGCAATTCTTCTTTTTTGCCCATCTATTCTTTTATACAAACAGCAGGATCAGAGAGTTACTGTTCATGCTACAGTAAATGCTACAGTAGATTTATTGTAGCAGTATTACTGTAGCAGATAATTAATTAAAAAATTACTGTAGCACACAGGTACACTGGAGCGTGTAAAATAAACTGTAGCAGAACGGCTACTGTAGCATTCCCAGAAAATTCAAAACAGGAGATGTTAAAAAGGCGGGAATACTGTAGCAAAAAAACCGTGCTTTGCACGGACAGCAGACTAGTTCACTTAGGTTGAAAAACAATTAGTGGAAAAGCTACATAATGTTGCCATATAAGGAAACTTATTGTAGATGGATTTTGAACTTGGATTTAAAAAAGATTTTATCTTATGAGGTCAGATTATATTTATTTTTTGGTGTTCTTTTTTGAAGGCTGCAACTTTTCCTCCCACCATAGTGGCCATAGTATTTGTTACAAGTCTTTTCTACAAAGTACAACTCCATTTACATTTGGTAACTACAAAGTAGCAAACCAAACAGTGCATATACAAAATCCATGGTTGCTCTATTTACTCTTATAACTTCATTTTTGTCCAACCAAACAACCCCTTAATATAGAAGCAATGTAAAAATAGTAGCGTAGTTTCTGTTGCTCATTTCAAAAGGTCTACTTATATAAATCAAACTTAAAAGATAATAAGGGGTGCAACATGGTAATAAAAGACATCAATGTGTGACTAACCCTAATTTTATTCTTATCATTATTTTCATCCTCTATTACCTAAGAAGTTACCACAATCCAACAACGCGTAGATATAAAGACCAATGGTTTATCGAGATCTTCAAATAGGGTAAAAAATTGGGTAATTAGCTCATATATCTTCACCGTAATTGATCTTCAAAACGACAGTCTTTGGCGAAGTCACATTTATTATTATGATGCAACTTTCATTGCTGAGAAGGGATTTTAGATTCCGAAAATCTGTATTTGGTGATATGTTAGATGCCTCTGTTGTAAATTTGGGTTGTTTATTATGGATTTAAGACGTAATGTTTCAGGACTTGATTTAAGACATCTGCCTCCATTATCTATAAGAGTCAACGTAGAATTGTCTCCCAAGAGAATTCTAGTCTAACGTACTCTTTAACGATTGCCAGTTGTAGGCTGATAAATCATTCTGAAACTTCATAATCCTTGTGATAATAGGAGATAGTTATCGAGGGCATTACTTCAATTAGGAGACAGAACTCAGATGAGATTACTTTTTTTTCACCCTAACCTTCGTGGATTTCTCCCATATTTATAGAGCCTTAAAAGAGATGGTATTTTAGAGTTTTTCTGCAGGTTTGTGCAGTTTACCACAATTCTCACTGCAGCTGCAGTTGCCATAAAAAAATGCACGCAATCATTTTCCAGATAAAATTGAGTATCCCAACAATCGATTTATAACTGCTTTCTTTTTCAGTTCATCCTACAGCCACATCACTGGGCAATGTAGAAGAAGGTAGTTAACCATCTTCTTTCGTTGACACAGCAAATTGTCGTAGGTTAAGACTCGAGGTGTGCATTTAGATTTTATCCATAGGTTGTCCTTCACATATATGTGTGTTGATTTTCCAGACCCTATTGTCTTTTCAAGGATTGTCCCCCTAAATTCAAAATATCGTGCATGGATTTTTTTTAAACCAATATTTCTTCCTTGCTAATGATCACCCTTCTAAGTTTCATGCCCCTTGGTATCTTGTTCTTAACTCCTTAATCCCAGTTACTACTGTATGAACAATATGGCCAGGGTCAGCTCTCATGTTAGAAGTACTTAACTGAATGGAGATCTTTTCATTTTTGTGAGAATTTAGCTTTATCATTTTCATGATCCAAAACCAACCATGTGAGTAGCCCTAGGGTAAAACCAGTCAATTTTAGCTGAAAATTTCAAAGTCAGGAAATCAGTGCATATTACATTGGAGTTCGTTCTGGGTTTATTCAATTTGTTTGAAGTACTTGCTGTCTTCTATGAGATCTGAGCATGTCCTAAGGGATAAATATTTCAGCGTATTCTCTTATATCTGAAGTATTTTCTGATGTCCTCTTTAGTTAGAACTAATAATTCTTTCAGTTATTATTCAAAATAGTATCCAATGTATGAATAGATCTGTAAAAGTTCTATTAACACCTTCAAGCCTTCTGCTTAAATAGCCAGATAGGCCATGTAGTTTACTTGGACTAAAGTTTAAATTATGTTTCTGATTGATTTGTTTAATCACCTAATTTATATCACATTCATATCTCAACTTAACGATGCAGGTAATGGTTTCAATTGTTTCACTCTTATCCAACCTAGTTATCGAGAGAGTGGATGAACGAACTGGAATAACTTGCTTATTTTCACTTCTGACATTTGTCCTTGTCAGCATTGTTTGCGAAAGGTAGTTATCTTTTTTTTAGACTAATAAGCAGTTTTGGGGTTCATCTCCAAAGATTTCATTCTCTAACATGCTCAAGTTAATATTCTCTCTTAGTTGATTGCAGAATTTTTGATGATCTACGATTGTGCATGATGTTCAGCGTATTTCCAACCATTGTAATTCCTGCCCTGGTGTTTCTTTTTCGACCCAAATACACACATTCAAGATTTTGGTATTTTGCTGCAGGTGAAATTCTTATGCCTGCAGTTTGATTTACCAATCAGTTCTTTTATGGTATATATAGATCTAATAGGCCAGCAAAGTATCTATGTTAATGGGCCACACCAGAGGACACTCTATAGGGGGTTGGTTACTCTGACTCCTAAATTACTTTTATTAGCACTTGGACTCCTTGATGTTCAGACAAAGTTATCTCCATGTTATTTATACTTGTACTATAGAGAGTATATTTTCAACACCTATAGATCAAAATGCTAATAAAAAAACAGTTGGGGATAATAAGTAGATAACCCTCTATGGTACAGGGGTGTATCTGCAAGAACCCTTCAACAAAAATAATATAGGCCATGAGTTGTGCAATTGCAAGAAAAGCTGCAGATTTTTGCATTTTAGTTATTGGCTCAGTTGATCTACATGACCTAGTGCCAAGTGAAAGCAGTTTCACATCTTTTGTTTACTAAATCCTCTGCTTGTTTCTCTTTTCATTTCAGCATTTTACCTTCTGTCAAGAATTGAAGCCCTTGCAGATATGAAAGTTTACAGTGTTAACAAATATGCCATTAGTGGTCATTCCTTAGAGCACTTGTGTTTAGCTATGGTTCCTCTTGTTCTCAGCATAATGCTCTGGTTAAGAAGTATCAGAATTGCCCGGTATGTTGTCCTTTTGCTTGAAATGCATGTGATTAGATGCTTGTTTATGTGATCTGTTGTTATACTCAGCTCCAAAGAGATTCCATGCACATGTTAATATGGTTGAATAACTAAGGAGGTTCTGTGAAAATATTAATTATATTACTAGATGATGTGGAAATACGTGAATGGAGTTTTTCTTTTCCTTACACGTCTGTGTGACCATTAAGAGCTGTATTCCAGTTTATGTTTATTAAGACGATATTATTTCTTTCATATACTTAGAGATGTCACATAAGAATCACATGACAATTAATTACCTTCTCCATTTAACTGAAAAGGCTAAAGCGTCCTCTAAACTGAGTGAAGAAAGAATCTCATCTGAGATTCAAAGTGGGTAACTGCTAATAGAATAGTTTTAACTGGTATAAACGGTTCGACCCCCATAGTACAGGGGTATATCAACCCTTTACTGCTCAACATGTAAAATAATGGAAGTGTATATGGATGTGATAATTCATGTTTCTCTTGAATCTTAATCTTGCAGGGACTATTAAATCAGATTAGAAACTTAACAGAATGCATGAAGCTATTGCGGATACTGCCGCCGATTGTGAAACAAAGATGAACATTTCAAAAGCTCGAGCAACTTACGTGAAACATTTCGACCAACAAACTATTAGCGGAATCTGCATGAAATTGACCTATGTACTACAGCTGTAGATGGATTTGTATTTCACTACAGTTCAATCTTGTATGTTTGTTTATATATTTTTGTGGGAATCATGACAATGTTACTGCTTATTGGTCTTTTTACTGGTTTACAGTTTACTGGATTTTCAATGTGTGAGTTGTACAATGCTTCTCTGGGTTTGTTTGAACGATGGCCGAACTGATAACGTGAAGATGAGAATACTATATTTTCAAATTCGATCCTCGTGTTATTTTCAACCTTGGAAATGAGTTAGGGAGGTTGGTGCTTGATGTAATGTACCCACTTCAATATTTTCGGCATTCATGTTGATCGGTTTCTATGATTGGACATAAGAATTAACAGTGAATTCGGCATTCATCTTGATCAGTTTCTATGATTGGACATAAGAATTCTAATACAATTTAACAATGAATCAGAGAAGCCACTTAACCTGCAAATTTCTATAAATTTATCTCAACAATTTACCGCTGATGAAGTCTCAGCATTTTTTAGTAGTGGAAGATTATTAATTTCACTTTATTTTTTTGCATATCCTTGTATGTGAATTTATGTTCTTCAGTAAACAGGAATAATCTATAAAGAATTGGGGTGTTAAAACTTTTAGTTACCCTTTTTACCCATATCCGATTTGATAATTTCAACTTTACTTTTATTTATTTACTTATTTATTTTATTATCTCTTCACACGTCTATTAATGCAATAACCCAAGAGTTTAAACTTCACCATTAAAACTCAAACTTAGTTTACCAAGCCTTTACTTATCCAAGTAATGACCAAATAATGCAAAATCAAATCGAACTTATACATACACCTTTAACAGCCAACCTTTCTACAGAAAGCATGTCACGGAAAGCACGTCTCATGTTGGGATTGTGTCTTTGATTCTTTGTATAACTTCATGAGAATTAGATAATGTTAGATATCTATCATGATTAGGAGATTGGGTCTCATCACGATTAGGAGTTTGAAACATATTCTAATTAGGAAGTTAGGCTAGACATAGGGTTTTTGGTTTCTCTATATATATTCTTCTATTGTTGCAAGAAAAACCAAGGAGAAGAGAGAGAGCCAATATTCTTGTAATCTAATGTTAGCAGTGGGCGTAGCCTGATTGAAGAATATTGTGTGAGAGGCGAGGGTTTTGTAATCTTTCTCCGTGCAAAAGATTAAATCATTGGGAGAGGGTTTCGCAGTCTTTGTCCGTTCAAAAGATTATAAGGAGAGGGCTTTGAAGATAATATGATAGTTGACTATGTATGTGAGGTTGATAGATTAAGAGACGAGAGTTGAGTGGTTCCTCTTGTAGTTCTCCCTGATTCATAGTGGATTTCTCGTATTATTACCCATGGACGTAGGTCGAAGTTGGTCAACCGAACCACGTAAATCTTGGTGTTCTTTCTTCTTGATTGTGGCTGTTTTATATCTTGTCGATTGTGGGTTGGCTTCCAAGTTGCACAGATCGTAGTAAGCAGGGAGACTGAAATTCCCACAACAAGTAGTATCAGAGCCATGATGATGGATCCAGGAGCGTGTTCGCAAGATAGGCGTCGTACAAAAGTGAAGATCGGCGGCGTTAAAAGAATCAAGATGAAAAAGGTACTGTAGTAGGGAATACTGTAACGACGGCGGGAACGCTATTCGCATGGTTGAGGATTTGCTTACAAGCTATTAAATCAAATCCGACGGTGCAGATTGAGTTGTCTTTTGACCGAGAATTTGGAGACATATTTTGATGATCCAAGAGTCGTTTTAGGGTTTTTCGACGTGTTGAGTTCGTTTTTGACATCGGCTTTATCAAATTCAACCTCTATAGTTATTGATTTGAATTTTGATTGTGGTTAGAGGATGATGACTTCTTCGGGTCTAAAGTTTGATATTCCACTATTCAACGACAAGACAAATCTGATGACAGATAGGGCAAACAAATATGCGATAGATGAGACTGGTGTAGAGAATCAAATGTTATTCTAGTAGTAGAATTATCAGCATATAATTATTCAGGGTCATCGCGGGAGTAGTAGTTGGTTGGTGTGTAAACTCGAGGAAGATAATGCCAGATTAGGTGGAGCTTGCAAGCAGACACAACTGTGTGACACGCATGCAGATGAAGATGGCAGCATTAGACTTGAAGATGATGAGCGCTCATATTCGGTCCAAGCCAAGTGATGGAGGAGATGGAGGCATCTGACTCGTAGTGTGGAGTAGGAGAGGTGCACTGATATAATTCGAGACGAGGGATGCAGACGTAGTACGAGGATAGCAAGTTAGGGAACTACTATCAAGTTTAGATTGGGAGGAGAAGCATGGTTGATCTACTTCTAATGTGAGATGTGGCGAAGATCTCTTGATGCGCACAAGAGAAGTGGAGGCGCCACAACGCGACAGATGAATGTGAGAGTCATAAGGGCATCCAGTTTAAAAGCAGATGCTTCGATTTAAAGTGTGAAAGAAATAGAAGACTCTAGCGGGAGAGGCAAAGTTTTAAGACGACGATGATATATCTTCAAGGGAGTTTGAGAATCAAATCTAAGCTGGAGATTGTTGGGATTGTGTCTTTGATTCTTTGTATAACTTCATGAGAATTAGATAGGGTTAGAGATCTATCATGATTAGGAGATTGAGTCTCATCATGATTAGGAGTTTGAAACCTATTCTAATTAGGAAGTTAGGCTAGACTGATTAGGAGATTGAGTCTCATCATGATTAGGAGTTTGAAACCTATTCTAATTAGGAAGTTAGGCTAGACATAGGGTTTTGATTTCCATATATATATTCTTCTATTGTTGGAAGAAAAACCAAGGAGAAGAGAGAGAGAGAGAGAGTCAATATTCTTGTAATCTAAGGTTAACAGAGGGCGTAGCCTGATTCAATAATATTGTACGAGAGGCGATGGTTTCGTAATCTTTCTCCTTGCAAAAAATTACATCATTGGGAGAGGGTTTCGTAGTCTTTGTCCGTTCAAAAGATTATAAGGAGAGTGACTTGGAGATAATATGAGAGTTGATCGATTATGTATGTGAGGTTGAGAGATTGAGAGACGGGAGTTGAGTGGTTCCTATTGTAGTTCTCCCTGATATATAGTGGATTTCTCATATTGTTGTCCGTGAACGTAGGTCGAAGTTGGTCGACCGAATCACGTAAATCTTGATGTTCTTTCTTCTTGATTGTGGTTGTTTTATATCTTGTCAATTGTGGGTTGGCTTCCAAGTTGTGTAGATCGTAGTAGGCGGGGAGACTGAAATTCCCCAACATCTTCTTCCACTTCCTACTCTTTATCAAACAAAACTTTATTTCACTTTCCTCACACCTCATTTCTCAGCTATCAATAATTACACAAATATACATAGCAAATGTTATACTTATTCATCTTCTTAATACCAGTATAAATTAGTAATAAACCTTACCAAAATTTCTCCAAATTGCATTATTGATTGATTCAAGGACTTGCTTGAGACAGTGAATAGATCATTCAAGTGTATTAAGAGTTTCTTTTGGAGTTAATGTTTAATTTGAAGCCAATTATATCAGATATCACAATTATTTCTGGTGAGTAGAGGAAGTTCAGGGAGGGGATCGTTGATGCTATTTGTGGGAAGATACTTCAGGTGAGCAGTTGAATTGTTGAGTTTTATTTTGAACCTAGAGAGTTCCATTACATTGTGAAAGCCTTGTTAAAAAAAGTTATTTTTTGTTACATTGTATTGTAATCAACCTAATGAGATTTCTACCTTTGAAGAAAGGGTAATTTTTTTTGGAAGTCAGTGCATTTGTGCTATTATTGCCTCAGAGTGATAGGACTTGGTGTAATACGGTATTTTAAGCAAGTATTTATATCACAATCTATTTTAAGCAAGTATTTATATCACATTGAGTTTCATAATTCGAGTTTGCTATTAAAATACAATAATAAATAGAATTGTTTGTGCTAATCAAGAAGAAAATTTAATACTTAAATTGTAAAAATTTAATACTTAGATTGTGAAAATCTAATACTTATATTGTTGATATTTTTTTGATACTTAAATTCTGAAAATGTAATACTTAAATTGTTGAAAATTTAATACTTAAATTGTGAGTAGAGAAAGTTTGGGGAGGGGATTGTTGATGCTATTTGTGGGAGGATACTTGATGTGAACGGTTGAATTGTTGAGTTTTGTTTTGAACACAAACAGTTCGATTAGAATGTGAAAGTCATATAAAAAAAGTTATTTTTTGTTGCATTGTATTGTAATCAACCTAAGTGAAGTTATCAAGATTTCAACCTTTGAGGAAATGGTGAATTTCTTTTGGAGTATGTTAAGTAAACTTGATTCTAAATGAGAGGTATTGAGTTATGTTGTATTTTAGGTTGTGCTTCTGGTTGGAATTGAAAGTTTACGTTAGTAGTTAAGAATTTATAGGAATTTTTCTTCATTGTTGCATTATATTAAAATGAATGCAAATGAAGTGATGAGAGTTTAACTTTTCAAGCAAGAATGAATTTTATGTTCTTTTGCTTATAAAGATTATCAAAGTAGCAACATTACAATCATATTTCATCTTTGTAGTCCTCCTACTAGCCCCCTCTTCATAGGCCAAGTCAACCATTGGCCTATGTTACAATGTTTAGATTACAATTAGTATTTGTCATTGCAAAGGAAACTATATCCATAAATTGGAAAAGTGTATGGCAAATGTAATTTTTTATGTTCCTATCTATGGAAGCATATATACTTTATTTAGCATGAATAAGGTTAGGCTGTATGCAGTGACGGATCTAGAAAATTTTTCTTGTAGGGCGTACAACATGAATCAATTCACCTAAATTGAAAATATAATATTATAAAATTATACTGCCGGATGTAAATATACTCGGTACACTTCTAATGAGCTTATTCAATTTGCTACTAATTTATTTAGTGTTTTGAGATAGGTTATGGTGAAAATCTTTTTTTTTTATTTGGTGGGGAGAAATGTAAACCTTACAAGGGACATGTAATTTCGTATAATCTTATGCTGCTAGTCCCATGCAATTATATATAAAGATTAATGAACTATAGAAATATCATCATTAATAGAAAACTGTATCAAAATAAAGGTTCCGCATGATTCATATCCTGCATGCATTACATTTAAAGCTCTTTGATTGATATACAAATAGTAGGTATATTCTACTTTTCGTTTCATGCTCCTGAATTATGAATGATTATAATATCTTAAATTCTGAATATATCAAGGCAGTAGTTTACAATCAAATAGTTTATTTGCTATCTATAATATAGTGCAAGTTGATTTTCACATTAGATTATAGAATTCATGGGAAAAAAAATCCATAAACAAAAATATCAATGTGAATTTAATCTTATGAATAAAATCTTATGAATAAAACTCCATAAACAAAAACATAAATATGAATTTAATCTTATGCCGTTTATAACCATTTTACCATTCATCGTGGAAAAACAATATTCTAGCATAGCATTGTATGATTATGAATAAAATACTATAAAATTATGAATAAAACACTGCAATTTATCCAAAATTAACATATATTAAGATAGAGATTAGCTCAATTTAATTATGATTAATTTTGTTGTAAATATATAAATTGGAGCGTTTTTTTCATATATCTCATAACATGAAACAGGTTGCCCATGCGCAATGCACGTGGCTCTGTTATTAGTAATAACAAAAAAATGATATCAAGTATATGATTATAACTCGGATAAATATTTATAGGGTGCATTCAGTTACACTTACCACCCGTTTCCTGAGAAAAAGTACGGATGCAAACCGAAGGCTTTATGGAAAGCACTAGCGTCCCGTGATACAAATTCACTAAGCTTCCCGTGAAACACAACTGTATAATCTGTTAAAAGAGTACTATTTTCAGCAGCTCGGATATTCATTGAAGAACCAGGCTAAACAGTAGACAGTGCTTTATTCAAAGCACTAAGCTTCTCGTGTCATGAATGTATAATCCGTCAAAGGAGCATATTGCTCACCAATAGCTGAGAGAACACTTGCGCGTATGAAGCGAATAATACTTGCAAGATCAGTAGAAATGCATTATTCACATACTAGAGCACAACATAAATTCTGGAAATAAATAAATTTGTAAAAGTTTTTTTTTAAAGAGAAATTAATATAAAATATCAAATAAACAACCGCATTGCCACCACTCTCTTCATTGCAATAAATATCAAAAATTGCAAACCATTTCTCAAATACAAACCAATATCCTCAAGTGAGCTCCAGAACTGGAATATAGCCAGCACTGATGAAGGTTCACACCCCCAAAGCCAATAATATTTACTTTAGTATTATAATAAGATCGTTTCAAACTGTTGCCACACATTCAAACTCTGGATAGACGATATTCCCAAGATCAACACTGAAACCTTAAAACTGGCAAAACGAAATGGGTTGAGAAAAAAGAATAAACACGGGTTTTGAATGAATTAATAGAAGGGGCTGCATACCTACTACGTTACGAATGATAGTCTAAAAACACACCAACAACCAATCTATAGTTCCCCAAACCAACCTCAAACTTTTCAAACTACAACAGGATCAGGATTTGATAAGAGAAGATCACTCTCAACTCAATCCCCTTCAGACAACACCATCAAAACTACTCAATAATGCTTGACAGTCCAAAATGTTTCTTCCACAACAACTCATTGCTGCTTGCACTCAGGAGGCCGTTCTGCTCCATCGCCAACACCCTTTTGCAGTTGAACATATGACAAGAGCTCAGCATATGAATTAAGCACATACCAAATTGAAAGGATAATACGTGAAATGGTTAGAGATCACACCTTATGTCCTGCCACGGAATGCTTTCACCGATCACAAAGAATCATAAACATCAGCACATGTCATTGAAAAACACACTACGCACAGCACTTTCAAAAGATCGGAAAATAAGATCATACAGAGCACATCATCTATAGAAAATCATACTGGGAGGAAGTAGATCACGACAAGCATGCAGCATAGATTTCGAAGTTGATGATTGCACTGACATAGTATTTTAACTGCACTGGTGTGTGTTCATTCAGATTGCAATGATCTACTTTCTCCCTAAATGATTTTTATAAAGGAGCCTCTATGTAGGATATGTTTCCCTAAAAGAGCGCCAAATCATACCTTCTTTTTTGGCTTGGTTTCCTCTTCTTCATCCTCGTCATCATCCTCATCATCTTCCTCATCCTCATCCTCTTCATCATCCTCATCCTCTTCATCACCTTCACCTTCATCATCCTCTCCAGGACCAGGAAAATCTTCATCTTGAACAGCCTCTCCAGTAAACCATGACACTGCATGTGGGATAATCTTGTCCCTGATAGTAGACCTGCAAGAAAAAGCAACTCATTATTATATAACAAGAGAACCAAAAATGGCTACACATTAAAACAAATAACCTCTACGTCCATTCATGCCCTCACGAGTTGGGAAACGGTTAGTCAGAAATAAAGGAACAGAATAGTACTAAACATCGACAACTCTAAATCTTTTCTTATATGTAAAATGCATATCCAACGGGAAGTTTAGCCAACTCTATTAACAGGAAAGCATACTGTAAAGACAGGCTTACCCTATATCATAATCTTGCTCCATCTGATTCTGTAGCTCTTCAGCCTGCCCAACCGAGGACAAAATATAAGCACACACAATTTCAATAAATGTCTGTTCCTTATAATTTTCAGCTTGTAGGAGAAGGTAGAGGCAATTGATGACAACTTACAGTAGCTTCATCAATTTCTTCGTCATCTTCTGGGACTTGAGGAGGATTGAAAAAGTTGAAAAAGCTTTCACAATTTTCTGTTTTGGTTATAGGCTTGGCATTTTTTGATCCCTTTTTGGGCTTCTTCTTCAAGACCTTCTGAGTCAAGCACTTCCCTGGGAGCCATTCAATTTCAGTCCTACAGAAAAAGATAGGACAAAGCTCGGTGGACATCCAGAAAATGGAAAGTAAAAAGCTGACGAGCAGAATTCACTAATAAAAAATACCCTATAGCCTTCTCCAGAATTGGCTCATCATCATCGATCATGTGGTATACTTTCGTCAAGATGGAATTTTTGAAATATGGGTTAGTATCAAAAAAGAATTCAAGCTTGAAACCCTTTGGATTATCAATCCTCGACCATTTAATATCCTTTAGAAACTTTAAGGCCTCTTCATCCCGTTCTTGAATCTGAAACAAGAAATCTTATTAGACATGAACTCGAGAGCTCAAGAAGAAAAATTAATAAAACATTTCTTCAACTTGCTGACCTCCTCAGATAGCACCTCATTGGTCTTCATAGCAGTGAGCCAGAAACCTGGTACACCCTTTTCTGAAGGGAAAAGAGAAACTTTCATGAGCTAATAAGAACATCATTGGATTTCTAATATAGGATTTTCAAGCTCTGATAATAACCTTCAGTGGCTTCCATGTCTTTATCCTCGGATGCAGTTACATCAGCATTTTCTTTTGCAACACTTTCAACTTCGACCACACCGTTCACAATGTCATATCTCTGCACCGATTCCAGGGGAAGACTGAATTAAGAGAAGGCCACGGACATTGATAGTTTGTGATTATAAAATATCTTGGTGGTCCAATGCTTTAGCAGCCAAGCATTCAGACAAATACTACAAGAAGCTAATACTTGAACTTCATAAAGCATTCAATAATGCTTCCAAATAAAGAAATATAATGGTCATGTAAATTATTCTATCACCATGCAACCATAAGGAAATGTAGTACCTTTGTGTATAATGGCTCATAAAGCTTCTGGTATTTCGCTTCAAGTGCTGCTCTTTCCTCAAAAAATTTTGCCTCGAGCTCGTCATGTTGACACTGGTTAAAAGAACAAATAAACGTCAACAACTAATAACTACAGATGAAATATAGCAAGAAGCAGTCAATCTCAAGTGAAGTATTAAATAAGATAGGAACCATGTAATTCAGAAAATAAAATAGTCTTACTCCCGAGTCTTAAAATCTCATGAATAGCATAAAAAGTTATCAGGTCCACCACTAAAATTTTCAAGAGATGCATTATATACCAGCTAAGTGAGTGTACAAGGAGATTTTAAAATATAAGACTTCAGTGGCGTTAGTAAAATTGTGAAACTAAAAGGAATAGAAGGTAAAAGGAAATGGAACACAGTTCTAGATGTTGAAGGAACAGCAATATCGAAACATATCAACTTAAGTACAATATTATTGGGCTCATTCCTATTAGCTGCTAGTGGAAGGAAACTTTTTGATCAAAACTTAAGCCACCCTGCCATGTCATATCCCAAATTACAGAAGACACAAGCCTAACAAAAGAATAATTTGCAGATTTCTCTCCAAGTTGCAAAAGATGCATGCATTCCCTATAAAACCCCAACATTCTGGCCTTGATAGCTCATCTCCTGCTGTATCCATCTTTTAACTAAATCATTTCACCCTTCAGAGAAAAGGCGGTCGCAGTTGGCAGAGAAGTGATTTAGAAGTAGATTAATAACCCTTCAAAGTAAAAGAAGTGCGCCTGCGAACATAAGAAACTAATATTTTGTAAAAACTTTGAATAGAAAATTACAGAAATACTTTTTATGCAATATTATATTTAATAACTATCATACTCATTAATTATGTAATACACGGGTTCATCAAACGAGTTCTCACTAACACTAAGGGGGCGTTTCTTTGCATGCAAGTGAAAGATGAAAGTGTGTAAGTGACTTTCTTTTAACCTTTTATGTGTTTGTTTGCATGCAAGTGGTTATGAAAGTGAAATGCGAGAAAGTTGCTGCATAGGATTTAATGAAATTTTGACTTCCGCAATTTTGACTTCCTCTAAAAAAATGGTGAAATCACATGAAAGTGACAAAAATGGTAACATATTTTAATTAAATGATTTTCACTATGTTTACTAATTGATCTAATTTTGTCACGTCATCTTCACATTGCACTTTCAACAATAAATTCATTTTTTTCGAACAAACATTGTATTCCACTTGCATGTTGATGTGGATGTGAAAGTTATTTGCAAAAGGAAGTAACGTGCACAATTTCAATTCATTTTCGAACAGCAAAACACCCCCTAAAAGAAGAAAACAAAACATGTAGCATCACATTATAGCTCAACATTGGTTTTAAGCACATTGTAGTTGCTCGTTTACAAGAGGAATTTCTGTGATATATACTTGTAGCTTGGATGTATTAACATTCTCACTCCTTATGTAAATTGTTGGTTCTGCCGCTATAAGAAACCTTTTTAAATTCCTAAGGGATTTGACACATATATAAGTTTTAACACATCATTAAGAAAGATGCATTCTATCCAGCAGAAAAATAAATGCGTAAAAGTGATGCCACCACTAGTATACCTAGCTTCCCTACAGATATATATCTAAGGACGCCTTAAAATTACATTTAAAGTACTGAATTGTAGTACTAGTATCACAAGTGCTGTCATCATGGTAAAACATGGTAACAACTGAATTGTTGTACTAGTATTACAACTGTTGTCATCATGCTTTATTGACAAAGATCACTGCAAACTATATTGATAAAACATGGTAACAACATCCAAATTAGCATACTGCAAGCATTGGTCCAAAATAATTAAATGTGTCATTCATCATTCAGCAATGGGTGGTTAGTTGACAGTGGGACTGCAAGGGCTTATCAAAGAACGGGAATGAAACCACTGGTTGCATAAAAATGACATGTGTCATGTGCCAGTCATTCCTAAACTGTCTCCCTCCTGGAATTCATGCATTTCTAGCTCTCATGCTACGATCCATATCTAACTCGGTTATAATTGAGATCAGTCATCTTCAGAATAAATAGGTTTTAGTATTCATCATTTTTCCTTGTTTCCAAATAAGAAAATGACATGGGTGATGTGTGCACAACAGCATGAGTACTGAATGCCGTACCATCTCACGGGTAAAGACTAGTAAACAGTGTACCCATTTGAAGAATAAAATGCATATATCAGTACAAACTAGCTGAAAGGAGGAAAATCTACTCAACGAAAAACTAATTATCAATCTCAGAAGAGAGAACAGGCCTGGATCTCCCTCAAGAACTCGACCCGTTTCCTAACTCTCGGAGTGAGCATCTCCAACGCATGCTGACCCGCCAAGCTCTGCAGCTTATTCCACATCCCAAAACAAACAAAACCCGTCAGAAACCCAAAACCCCCTAAAACCCTAGCCCCCAAAGCAAAACCAAACCACCGAAGCCCTCACCTTGAGAGCGCTAACGAGGCCAGCTCTATCTTCAGCGGTCAACCCTACGATCCAACCCCGGAACACGTCAGCACACGAAAAGATCAATCGAGAGAGAGAGAGAGAGAGATACCGGAGGGGAGAGCGCCGCCGAGATCGGAGAGGTTGAGAGGCTCCTGCTGCTTGTTGTCACCCATAGGTTCCCTAGTTCTGTTGAAACCCTAGCAGCGAGAAGAGAGAGAAAACCTAGACCTCTGGAGAGAGAGAGAGAGAGAGAGAGAGAGAGAGAGAGAACGGGCGACTGGGGAGGGAGGGATTCGAGCGTAGCGATTGAGGACGGTTTTTATATCAAAATGCGGGTCCGTGAGGGTTTTCGCTCATCGGGTTTCGGGTTGACTGTTGCCGGATAATCGCGCCTTGATTTATGGAGCGGGTCAGGTCGAGACGTGAGGGTTCCAATCGCTGCTTTGATTTGGACTTGTAGAGCGCGAACGTCAAGTAGGCCCTCGGACGCTGAAAAGCCCACTGTTGGCCCGTTGGGCATTTGGAACCACGTCAGGTTTCATGTGTGATATTATGCAAACGTTCGTCTGTGCTTGTACGGTTTGGTTTGGTTGCTTTGAGAATTAAATTAATACCCAAAAAAAATTCTGTAGATTGTTGTTCCTTCTTCCAAAAGTAGATAATCTGATTAGGAGTTTTTCTTTTTCTTTTTTTTCTTTTTTTCTTTTTTTTCTTTTTTTTGTGAGGGGTGGTATGGTTGGTTTACTAAAAAACTTGAAATTTACTTCACAAAAAACACAATTTAGAATTTTTAGGGTTAAAATGAATTTCATGAAAAAACTAACATGCTGGAGCTATTAAATATATTTTTACATAAATTATCAAATTAATTAAACTTATGAAATGTAAACATTTTCTATCATGAGATTTTCAAAGATGATATGACACGCATAGAAACTAATTTAGTCATTCTGCATTTCGAAACCAAACAACCTTTAAGTGAAATACAACGTAAGAACGTAGATAGGTTTTATATTAAAATTCAAATTTTAAATTAGGTGGCTTAAGTATTAATCCCTCTTTTTTATAATGTTTGGGTAGAAAATTATTTTCATTGCTGAATTCATTACAACTTCGGGCGTTACAATAAATTCAAAACAAAGATAGCATTTTTATAAGACTTTCAATACAATGAAAATAAATTACAACTCTCTTTCAAACAACACGCAACAGGTGTTTATCGCCTATTGCTTTCGCGAGATCTTTGCCTGTGTCGGGGTTTATCCATGGACCGTCTGCGGATCGGATCCGATTGACAGAAAATTAACAGAGCTCCTACTTCACCAAGGAAGTATTCGCTTGAAGCTCTGAAATCGACCAAGTAAAATCAGTAGCTACAGAGCTCCTACTTCACCAAGGAAGTATTCGCTTGAAGCTCTGAAATCGACCAAGTAAAATCAGTAGCTCTTCTCGAGATTAAGACCAAGCCTAATGAAGCTCTGAAATCGACCAAGTAAAATCAGTAGCTCTTCTCGAGATTAAGACCAAGCCTAATCTCGAGAAACGGACGGACGGGGCTTCAGATCTCTCGAACTCTCCCTCTTTATGCTGAAGAACTTTGCCGAGATCAGTTAGCCTCCTTTGAAATTCATGCTCCCTTGCTCTCCAACTCGGCAGCACCTCCTCCTCTTGATAATAAATCGCCCATTTAAAATGATCCCATAGGCCTGTATTTATAGGCTTCGGTTGGGGGGTTTTCGGATAAGAATGAGTGATTTGACCTTATCTTCAGTTAATAACGATCTAATCACGTTTATCGATGATATCCAATCAGTTGGGAAGCTCTGGAACGAACAAATACAGAGAAAATATTAAAAAATACATTTTCGGGCAGTTGGCGCGCGAAACAGGTCGTGCTGACTCGCAGGGGTGCGAGTCAGCCGAGTCTGACCCGTGCTGGCGCGGGTCGGCCAGCGCCATCCCGCGAGGGGTGCGGGTCAGCCGAGTCTGACCCGTGCTGGCGCGGGTCGGCCAGCGCCATCCCGCGCTGGCACGGGTCAGGCGCCTTAGCTGAACTTCTTTTTTTCTTTTTGGCACTTTGTGACTTTTCGGGACTTGTATTTTTCTGCCATTTTGCGTTTTTGATCGTCTTGTTGACTTGCACGCGTCGTTAACTTGCTTCATGCGCTCGTTAGCTTCTTTACGGCACTTGGAACTAACCAACATGCGCATCGAGCACTTTGGATCTGACCGACAAGCGTGTCAGGCACTTTGGATCTGACCGACAAGCGTGTCGGGTACTTTGGATCTGACCGACAAGCACGTCGGGCACTTTAGATCTGACCGACGTGCGCAAGCTGACTGACGAGTGCGTCTGGTCTCTTATGGCTGACTGACATGCGCGAGCTGACTGACGCGTGCGGGCTAACCGCCAGGTGTGACGGCCAAATTGGAGGTGGTCGGTGAGTGTACGAGACACAGTTGGTTCGTCATTCCGGTTCATGCACTTGTCGGTTGGCTTCTCTCCGCGCATCTTCAACTCTTTCTAGGTGTTTGACGTTGTTACTCCCATAACTTCCAATACATCCAAAGAGAGGTTGTTGTGACAGGTTTGGAGGATGAAGTCCTCTGTGATCAGATCTCGGCAGTTCATCGTCTTATTCCGGAAATGCTTGACGAAGTCGTCGATCATCTCATCGTCTTCTTGTTTCTCATCGAAGAGTGTCCTGATTTACACCTCAGCATCATCATCAAAAAAGTGAGCGAGAAACAGGCTCTCCAGGTCTTCCCAGCTGTTAATACTTCCAGGCTTGAGTCGGCGGTACCAATCGAAGGTGGGCCCGCAAAGGATGCCAACGAATAACTGGATCATTAATGTCTCATTGTCAGAGATCATGCCCAAGTGAGACTTGAAGTAGATCAGATGCTGAGTGGGTGAACCCTTCCCGTCGAATGGCATGAAGTTGATCAGGTTGAACTTCGTCGGGTATGCTATTGAGTCCCACTCTCTTGGGTAAGGACACGGAATACCGATTTTCTTCACCTCTCGAGAAGACATCAGAGCGTTAATTTTGCTCTCGAGATCTTTCATCTTCTCATCCTCGTCTGTATCATGCTTTGGACGATTTCTGAGAGGAACAACACGGTCAGCCCCGGTATTATCATCTTTGGTGGGACCATCCCTAGCGTCGTTATCTTTAGTGGGGCCACCCCCAGCGTTTTGGCCAACGAGAGGGTTATCAGCATTAAGGTGTTCATTCACATCTGAATCGCTAGCTGCTTGACTAACATTGTTGCGACAACTGGATTCACCTATCTGATTTGACAAGGCTTGGATCTGTTGGTCATGCTCTTCCCTCATCCGCAGCATAGTCGTTTCTATTTCGAACTTAAAGTTCTCTTTTTGCTTAGCCAAGGCATCCTCGATGATTTTGGCCACTTGCTCTGTGTTAATCATAAACACTTCGTGGGATTATCCCGGACTAGATACCATTTTGTCGAAAGCAACTGCAGAGTTAGCATCTGATGCTTCATCATCCAAGAATAATCCCCTCTGCATTCTCTAATAATCTCTTTGTCTAATGGTTCCTGATCGCAACCAGGTTAGATGATGCGATATGAGCGAGTCAGAACTAGAAGGTCGAGCCGACTTTCCCTTATCAGCCATGCTAATTATGACTTCTGAAAGTTCGTCACCTTGAACAGCCGATCATTTCTTATGGAGACGCTTTGGTTTGGACTTTGACGCTTCAGAGGAAAGTCTTCGGAATACCGAGACCCTTTGTGGGGCAGTCTTGGGGCAGCTACAAGCTGATAATACTACCCTGATAATTTTGGCACACGGACAGTGAGACTCCGCTTCTCGGTTACTCCTTTTCCGAGGCTTGTTCGTACCCCCAGCCCAATAATACAACCCATCGGTCTGATGACCGAAGCAACCCATCATGTGTTGGCGCGACTTCCCAGGTATAACGTCATCGTCGTAAGACGAAAACGTTCCCTTCTGGGGGTTTGCTGTATTGTTGGCGTTCTCAAGAGTCACACGTTTGGAGCCACACTCTCGGGAGCGTGGGACCTCAACGGGCTCTTGGACAATGACTCGCAGTCCGAGGCGGTCAGTTACAGAAGTTTTCCCATTATAGAAAGGCTCCAACTTGTTGCGAGGGCGCGTACGACCCCCAGCTCGAGTAGTTGCTCGGGATTCGGTCACTAGACCCAAGCGTTCTTCGATCAGAACTTTGTTGGCCTTCTTGTTTTGATGATGATTTACAAATAATTTACTACTAATGTTGTTTGTCTAGTGTTTGCCTTCTTGTTTTGATGATGATTTACAAATAATTTACTACTAATGTTGTTTGTCTAGTGTTTGTGTATTTCTATGTATTGTAGACAAACAATTTACAAATAATTTACTACTAATGTTGTTTGTCTAGTGTTTGTGTATTTCTATGTATTGTAGACAAACAATATTGTTGGAGGATGGATGGAATTAAGCCTACACGATCATATCAAGAGGAGGTTGGCAGAATTATGGAGTGAAGCAACATACAATTCAAGTTAAAGATCAAGTTCAAGCTTCATCCGCAAGTGTACCAAGTCAAGCTTAATTGAAGATCAAGATTGCTTGGGTAATGTAGTTTTAGATTTTATATTATGTGTGTTTAATATGTTAAGCTCAATATAATATACACACACATTTTATTGGTTTCTTCGTGTGTGTGTGTGTGTGTATATATATATTTTGCAAAATGATGATTTTTCACAAATGGGAAATGCAATTTGGAAAATTCTTTTTGTAACATGTTTGTTTTCATGTTTATATATATTTCCCAAAGTTTCATTATTTTTGGACTTCATTTGTTATTTTAAACATATTTTCTAAAGTGTCAAAATCAGCTTCCAAAAACTGTTTTTCTGTCATATCTGTTTTCGGTCGACCGCACCGATCGACCGATCATTTGATCTTTCATCACTGAGCGACAGAGAGTTGGTCGGTCGACCGAAAGCTCCATCGGTCGACCGCACCGGTCGACCGACAATTGTCCAGAGCTGGTCTTCGTGTTTTTGCTCTCCGTCGGTCGACCGACAGAATTTCCGGTCGACCGACAATATGACCGTTGCTTTTCCAACAGCTATTTTCTGAGCTGTTTGCTGGGGCTGTTTCTGTCTTTTGACTTGGGATTTTTAGCTGAGGTTTTGGAGGATATAAATACTCTCTTTGATCTCAGTTTTCAACTAATGAAAAGAAGTTTTTAAACAAGTTTTAAAACAAGGGTTTAAGTATGTTTAAGGGTTTGTTTTTTGTTTGTGAAGAAGT